ACACTTCCGTTCTTATAAAATCTTTGATCTAGTTTTTGAATGGGTAATTATAAAGCGCCAAAGATAGTCACTGCGGCGGCTCAGTTTACTTGTAATAAGGCTACGTCAACCGCTCGTATTGTGATCGCTCTCTGGCAACTCTGTGGCGCAATCCATGTTCCGGCGCCAGCTGAAGTATTTGCTGAGTGGATTGGCTCGTCTTACAAATACAGGCATCAAATTGCTGACTCTGCTGGCCTTAATTGCTGACATCAAATTTTCTTATCTTGTTGTCAATGATAGCTCGCTCATCTTGAAATTTGCTCCATTTTGAACTGCTTGTTTTTCGTTTTTGAGAGAAGCCTCAGCGCCCTAATTACTGTTGCCACTGATCTATGAATGCACACTAAAATCTCTGCTTTCAGTGCTATCAGCAAACTGAGGGAGTGCTGTCGAAATGGAAGTTTTTTCAAAGTCCATTTACGCCTACGAGAAAGTACGCTCAGCCATTCGTGATCACGAAGACGATGTTGACGTGACCGCTACGATTCCGAAGACTCGTGCCAAGGTTGTCGTCGTTGGTTCATCAGGTTAATAGTGTTTTTTTTTAATTTTGTTAGTAGCATCGGCCTGCTGCAGCTGGTAGTCTGTTCCATTTTTCAATTTAAAATAATCTGTTGGATGATTTTGTTTGATCTGTACCTATAATTATGAAATGCGAGATTGTTTCGTAGACTTATCAAATTATGCAAGTGAAGGAAACGTGTTTTTTCTTTCACTGAGCCACTAGTCTCGCTGCTTGAGGGTGAACATAATCTGTTAGCTGTCGGGAATGATTCTTAAATATCCATTAAGAAGTTAAATACCTTAGCATTGCAAATGCGCTTGTACTAAAGTGGAAAGTCCTGCTCTTTAGGTGTTGGTAAAACTTCTGTGATCTATCGTCATCGTTTTGGAAATCGCTCTGCGCCATTCACCTCAACCATCGGGGCATCCTTTGTGGAGTGCGAAGTGTGAGTTCATTTCCAACGTTTACCGTGGGTTGATAAAGTCCTCACTCTCCCGTTTCTTTTTTTTCTTGCGAGCAGTTATAGACCCAAAAGCTTTTATCTCATTCTATAATAGCTCTGTGGCGGTTTTTCTACCTGCCGATTTCAGAGAGACCAGCTACGAAAACATGAGCCTACAAATATGGGACACTGCTGGACAGGAGCGTTTTCGTTGCATGGTAAGTTTCAGTTCATCTTGCTCTTTCAATTGCTTTTATTGGAACATATTTGCTTTATTATGAGCTATTGAATTCATTAAAATCAATCATTGTTTGGAACTATGCCCCCAGTTCTGGTAGAATTCTGAGAAATTGCAGTAAACGCTATCCATTTCCCTCCGAATATTCAAAATAACTTCATTCAGGTGCCAATGTACATGCGAAACTCTGCTGCTGCCATTATAATGTACGACGTAACTAGCCGTCAGTCATTTGAGGATGTGGACAAATGGGCTGAAGGTTTGTTGTAAGATTATATTGCCCTATTCTCATCTTCAAGTTGAAATTAGGCGTTTGTTAAGTTACCCTGTGCAAAGTTGTTAAGGAGGGAAATTAGCGATACATGAAAGCTCCAGAAGTTGGGAGTTTCATATGGATTTAGGTTTTCGCTAAGCGGTAATTCATCGGCGCGGCGTAGTTTACTTGCAACGCCTGTTAATGAAGCCCGCTCCAGGTTACTTTTCGCTTTTTGTGCCATGGTTCTTGTCGAGTTTTGGTAAAATAGATATTCGGATTCCATCAAGCAGGTGCTGTCCTCCGAGAAAGTAATAGATCAATGAACAAGTGCAAATTTTCTCTCGAAACGGCAGCTGAAGGGAGAGTACGTAGCGAAGTTTCGGTGATAAGTTGATCATATGTGATGCACTCGACCAAAACACCGGTTAGCATGATTCTCAGCGCCTATTTCGTTGAAACTGAAGTGTGTCTCATCTCTTGTGCTGACGACTGGTCACGAAATTTTGGACTGATTCATCATTTTACAGAACTTCGTAAGTGTTGTGGTATGGCCGATCCGTTGGTGGTGCTCATTGGCAACAAGGTTAGTATCTACTGTTTCTATCTTTCCCGCAAAAATACTTAATTTACATCTTCAGTGTGATCTACAAGATAAGCGGCGCGTTTCATCGATAGAAGGCCAAGAGAAGGCTTTTGCACTTGACGCACGATTTTACGAGATCTCAGCTGAAAAGCCAATAAGTGAGTTTAATTATCTTTCTATCCAATATTATTCCGCGTACGTCAATCCATCTCGATCGCTCTGCATTGTGCCTTCCTGCCTGGCTCCAACATCTGTGCCCGTTCCCCACAAATGATGGATGGCTTATTTCATCTATCGTACCAAGATACCATCTCTTCGCAGCACGCTCCACCGTACACGCCTAAGTGCGATATCGCAACAGGCCAAACCTAACGGGCTAGAGGCAGAACTGGTTCCTTTTGAGTCAGCGCGTCTTCTCAAGATTGTTTCAATGGTTTTTGCATAGAAGACGCACATACGATCAAGAAAAGGGTAGATATTTCCCAGCAGGGTAGCATTATTGCATAATGCATTGTTCGAATCATATACATATAAGAACGTGGAAGAAGCACCAATTTTCAGCCTTTGCCTTGGTGCTAGAAGATCTCTGCAACGATCTTTTGTCCAGCGCGAGTGCTGAAGAGATATCCTCGTTGCACTCTGTGACCCGTACTGACGTCGTTCGTCTTCCGTCGAGCTCCTCTTCGGTCTCGTCGAAGGATTCAAAGGCCAAAACCAGGTGCTGCGCATTCCTATAGATCTTAGTTATCATATTTCTAGTTTTTGTTCTCCCATCACCCTCGTGCAATTGATCCTGGCCTCAATGATTGGAAAAGTAGTATATCAAAATTTATGTGATGGGTTTCAAAGAACATGCCAGGATCGAATCGATTATTTGAGCCATATTATCACCTTTCACGTCATATAATAACCCTATCCATTAACCAATTTTCACGATACCATTATACTAGTTAGACACATGAGTATTTATTCTCAGGACCATCTCAGTTGTTTTCTTATGTGTCAAATTATGTTCTATATTGACTAATATTTGTGTCTAGATTGTGATGTTACAAGTAGTTTAAGTCTTTCGAATAACGGGATTTTCCTAGTTTTCTCAATAATCACTTTGAACCTCTTCGTAGTTTGTAGTTTGTCTAATTATATATTATCAAAACCTTTGCAGTCTTTTTCCTGTGATTTATTCTAAAATGGAACCCAAGTACAGGGATGTTTGAGTTGTTTTATGTTTGCTGCTTGTTATACATGGGTAGAAATTTGCCGTCGATATTTGATCCGAGTTTGAGCCGTACTGGTTTCATGTTGACAAATTGCCATGATGCAATTGAATGAATGTTAATTTATCTATGTGTTTTGATGTTATTACATGTGTAGAGTACTAATGATAAGCAAGGTCGACGGACTACTTGAACTCAGCCCTTTAAACCGCCTCTGCGCTCTCTCGCGGGTCCCTCTCCTCTCCAAGGCTTAGTCCTAGGGCATTCACCCGTTCTCTAATCGTCTGTGCTCTAGCCATCGCGGCAGGACCATTGAGGAAAAATCAAGTAGTC